GAATATCGTACTCATTTATTTAATTTGCCATAGGAGATCGTTCACATTTCGCTGACCATGCCTAGGGGTATATCTCGTCTAGTTCTTATTTTAGTACTGGCCAGTTATTGCTCACCGCATTTCCACAGAGTTCAAATAAGTATTGCCGGCCCAGGGATTGAAATATATCACCAAATTCACAAACCGATACTTTAATCTTCTAGGCTATTTTCCCGAGAAGCACTTTATGAAGGCCGGATACTGCAACTGCTGAAACTTTGTGATAATAACAGTGAAGATGCAGACAATAGTCCGCTTGTAAATAAAGCTAGTAAATATATATTCCTCATGTAGATTTTAAGAAGCCGAGAAAGAAATATAGAGAGAAAAATTCAAGAATAATGGTATTCCTAAAATCTGAGAGTGAGAGAGAGAGAGAGAGAGAGAGAGAGAGAGAGAGAGAGAGAGAACTTACTTTAAAGAGAATATCAATCGATCGTTTTTTTAAAGTGTCGGAAAATGTCACACAAAAAAGAGTAAAAATTGTCGATAAATTATCTAATCAAAAAGAATATTTTATGAACAAAATATACCGGCCTCTGAGATAAATCTTCCACATGTTTGCTATATTAAAAAAAAATCCTAAGTTTAAAAATTAGTTAAGATTTTGTTATTGTGTCATGTTTTTTCGTTGATGTGCGTCGACGAATGACGTTTTGATTTTATTCCTTTTTTATTTTCTCATCCGAGTTTCAGTAAACAAAATCTAATTTCGCTTCTTTTTCCCGATCAATTTAATGACTGAAAGAAACGTAATTTTTTTTATGTTTTTGAATTTATTGTTTCAAAATTACACACCTTTCTTTATCTTTACTCTTCTATGCTACACTATTTACATTATTCGGACTATTGTCCTCATCTTTGTCGCCATATTTATTACAACGTTTCGGCCGTTGTACGCTCTGGCCTTCTTCAGGTGGTTGGAATGTCGATCTGAACCCTTTATTTCGCTCACTGGGTTAGACTGTTCTAGTTCCACATGCCATGTTTTTAATGGATGTCAGTTATCAGTTATCTCCTGTTAATTTCCCTCTGAAAGTTCTCCACTGCCTTAACCAGGTATTGACCTCACACTCTTTGGGTCCTGTCACTGGATCTAACTATGGCAACACAGATGAGGACAATAGTCCGAATAATGTAAATAGTGTACATAATACCTGATCTTCCATGCTAATTGTTTTCTTACAGTTATTGGATGACTGAGAATTAATCACCTCGTTCCGTCGAATCAGCGAGAGTAATTTTAGTAAAAACTTATTGAATTGTTTAATATCACGACGTTGACTAAGAAACTTTAAACAACTGAAGAGGATTTATGTGGGTTTCTGTGATTTTTTAAATACTGAGTAAAACGCATGTAAATACAAATATGATAAACATGAGACTGTTGTCTGAATACCTTGCATTCATTTGTGCATTATTTAGGTAACTACATTCGTCACAGAAAATACTTAGTGGCTTTATGGACATCAACGGAAAGCTACATTTTATCAGATGTTATGGACCAACACTGCGGAACGGCAAAAATAAAAAAAAAACTCTATGAAAGCATAAATATACCAGCAATATGTAAAAATTATCAACAATACAATTTCAAAGTAAAACGACCAGCTATACATTTTATAGTAGAATTACCAACAATACATTTTATATCAAAATGACTAACAAAAATTTTTATCTGAATTTGGAGCGATAGAATTGTATTGAAAATGTTTAGATTACGACATTAAATAACCTATAGAGGTTGATATGGCGCAAAACAAAATCAACTGACAGAATGCCAAAGAACTGAAAAAGAATAACAGGAACCATATTACTTGAAAACTTTCAAGAACATCAATTACTAACATCAATAAGAATGTTGAATTAATCAGGATGTTGACTTTCCACACAACGTTAAACAAAATATTACGGTTATTAATTTACAATGAATTTCCATAGAAAACTGGGAGCCACCATTAACTTTTATAAAATTTAATGAAAAATAAATTATTTTGATATTCGTGGTCGTCAGTACCTAATCTATCTATAAGTTTATGTTTCGTGTCCCTTAAAGACGTTGGCGATCATGACTCTTAACAATTTCCTTTCCTATGCAACTTTTAATTCATTTTGTTTTTTGTGATCTCCCTTTTACTGCAATCCATTTACACAAGCTCGCTCGGCAAATTATGCCTTGTTTACTTATGACCCTCTTACCTTCTATCTGTTCTGTGAGTATCAAATTTTCCAAGCGCTCTTTCCTCATTATATGCCATAGAAATTTCAACTGTCTGTTCCTGATGTTAAGTATAAGTATTCTTTTTTGTTTCCATTTTCTCTAAAACTTTGTTGTTGCTCAAATCTTCTCAACATCCTTCTGTAGAACCACATTTCAATTGCTTGAAATCACTTCTTCATCTACCAGGAGATTGTCCAGCATTCATTGCCATATAGGAGGCCTGTTTCTGTAACATGAAAAACGATTATTTCTCATCACAGTGTCTATTATTGTATAGCCCCATCCAAGTTAATTATCTATTTTAGAATTTATCTTTTCTTTTGAGTTTTAACCTGTTGCTAAGTGTTTTATTGCAGTCAATAGTTTTACTTTAAATTGTACACTTGCACACAAAAATATCATCTTCCCCATACATTTTAAGTTGATTAATGGCTGAGATAAATGAAGGTTTTGCTATTATAAATAATTGAGTTTGGTAATTTCTTATGAAAAATTAACTCGTTCGTGTCCAGAAAAAAACGTGTCAAGTTGACACTGCTGTTATTTTAATTAACCTCACCCTTCGGCAATGTTTCTTTCTTTAAATGTGAAGATCAGAATTGTAATAAAACTTAAACTTATGTTGAAAATGCATTTTTGTCCTTGAGAAGTAAAAAAATTAAACACTATTTATTTATTAGATTTTTTATTTGCAAGAATATTATATTTATAACATTCTAAAAAGTAATACAATGAAAACTAATGTCATGCAATTTTTATCATTTACAAATTTGTAAAGAAATAAATATGAAATATTTTTAGTCACAAATTTGTAAAAATTTACTAAATTATTAAAATACGTGAATCAACTATAAATACATATTTATTATTTACTATTTTATAAAGTTCGAATCACCTGGGACTTAGCCGATGTTTTACCAAGTATTACACAAAACAGTATAATAAATAGTGTAAATAAACCATCAGATCGTGTTTTTGTTTTTGTAAATTCTGAAGAACAAAAATAATTTTATGAAGTTACTTTTATCATAGATTTAAGTATTACAATGAACCTCCGTCTATTCGCGTTTTAGTATTCGCCGGTTCTCACATTCGCGGGTTTTTCTTTAGAACATATGTACTTGTTCGCGGAATATTCCCGAATATTCGCGTGTTTTTCTGAAGAACATATGTACAAATTATTCGTTGTGAACTCCCTCGATTCACTTTTTTTTTTTCGATAGTACATATTTAAAATATTCTTGCATTATTTTCATGTAATCTAAGTGATTTAAAACATATAACAGTCCATTTTCAGAATTGTACATTTTCATTGTAAAAAAAACCAAAAAAAAACAAAACCCTGCGTAGTGCTTGGGTTTTGTTCTTTGTTAGTGGCTGTGGCTGGGGTCTTAAAAGTGGCTTATGCTAAGTCTGGGGGCATCATCACAGTTCTGGTTTTAGAAAATGTTTTAGACTTTATATTTTATGTCTTGTTAAACATATTTTATACAGTATTTTCAATGCTTGTATCGATCTACGCGGAATTAAAAATGGTTATTGTACGTATGAAAGAAAATTTACGCTAAGTGTATGGTCATCGATACTATTTTACAAAAATGTTTTTAAAAGGGCCTGCAATGTTTCTAAAATGTTTCGGGTGAAAGTTTAAGACATGTGAGCTTTTAACAATCAAAATAGGTAATTCTAAGCACTTTTAGTGGGGAGGGGTTACAAGTATTCGCGGATTCTAACTATTCGTGGCCCCGGTTGTGGGTCTCTAATCCCCCGAATACGGAAGACTCACTTTATCACTATTCAAATCATGGATTTTTAAAACAATAAACAGTGACAATCAGATAACCTTTTGACATTCCGTATGTTGCCGCCCCAAATCCATGTTTTCCCAATTGACATTTCCTACAATACCTATTCTTATAGATGCCGAACGCTTTCATTACTCTGATATTGTGGACAATTCCTCCACACACTAATGCCCTTACGCGCGCGTATCGAGTTCTTTGACTGCGTTGATGTCAGTACACACAAAGTGCATTTCCGGCCTACTTAAAATGTTGTAGACATGTAGTCAAAGGAACACATAATATTTAATCACTGGAGACATCAACAATAATCTCGAAGAAACCTGAGTTAGGCATTTCGAAGGTTATAGTCAGAAAACATCACATTTGGCCGCCTAAAACCTGCGTTATTGAAAGTCGCACTCACTCGTTCGAAGTAAATGCATTCTCAGATAAGATAAGTTATACAACTGTTACTCAAGCAAATCCGTTTGATAGATGAGTCATTTGTGGTTTCAATTCTATTAAATTTAATCTTTCACTTTCCTAACGCCGTAACGCTTGGGTCGTTTCTAGAAATATTTTCTTGTTAACTGTTCTGATGAGCTTTCCTCTTTGGCATATCGACTTTACGAATCTAAGAACAGTAAAAGATCTCAAAATATTATATCATTCTACAAATGTTAGATGTAACCGTAAGTTCCAGGCTAGCAGCCTTTATTCTTGCACTTCTTACTTGTGGAACTCACTTTCAGTTACTCATCTTCGAGTCAACTTTGATCTCCTGAAATTTAAATTAAATGTCAATTGTTATCTTTTTTATCCTTATTCTGTTATTTTTTTCTCCCTCCTATTATTCTTTCCCACTCGGCAATCCCTTGCATCTTATTCATTTTATTGATTGGGGTTAAATGATTAAAAAATCTCCAATTGCTCTGCTACTGAGGACTTTGTAGCAAATTTAATTATTTTTTCTTTTCGACTACATTTTCTTTCTTTCTTTCTTTCTTTCTTTCTTTCTTTCTTTCTTTCTTTCTTTATCTAGATTTTTGCATTCTTTACTTTTATTCTTTAAATTGAATTTTTCCTTTAATTTAATCTACATTATTTTATCGTTTTCCTCCAGCTCAGTTCTTTTTATTTGTTTTCATTCCTGAATTATTTTGTACCTTTTCCCCTTCTATTTTTCTTTTGAATATTCATTCATTCAGCCCTTTTTTTCTCTTGTAATATAATAGTTCTTTCATTCATTCCATTAAATATGAGCATCTCTTTTCCAGACATGATCAAGGTGTGGGTCAACGCTGAAATACTTGGGTCAATTTTCTATACACAACAGAGACTTATCTCAATAGTTCATTGTGTGCATAGGTAAAATAAAATTTACTATTTTGATATATCGCTTATG